CACTAATTTTTCGATGGCGAAATTTTTGTATGTTTTATTAATAATTTTATAGTATTTTCGAATTAAAATATGATCCTAAAGTTGTTTGGCAAAATTTTAATTTTTTTAAAAGTTATTGATTAAACAATTTTTAAGCATCCAATTAGTAAAAATGTGAAATGTAAAAATGTGAGTAATATACAATAATCATGCTTTCAAACAAAAAAAATTGTTTGAATTTTGTCCATAATTTGTTTAAAATAGCAACAATTATTATAAACAAATGAAAATAAAATAAACTTTTGCGCCTAATTTCGTATTTTTTCTTGTCAATTATGATTCCCTATTTTATCACGAGTATTTAAAAAAAATAAAAGTCAGTATATTGCATTAGGTCAAAAGTTATTAATATATGTTTGTGATCGCGCTCCGCCAACTACGTCAACGCCGCCACAGTGGGACGAAAAACACGACCGTGGACAAATTAACATAGAGCCTACAAATTTCAACCGATTTTGACGTTCTTAGTCTTGTTTTAAAGATCATAAAATTCTGCATAACGTCTTTGATTTTATTTAAAAAAAGTATTTCAATTGTTTATTTAATGTTAAAGTTAAAAACAATTTTTTTCCTCCTTAAAAGTAGCGAAACATTTTAGAAAAGGCGATTATTCCCCATTTTTTTGTATTTAAGATGCAAAAGTAATTATCAGTTTAATAGTTATTATGAATTAATTATTTGTAATTGTTTAAACAATTTTTATGAACAATTTTGTTGATTTAAGTTCCTAATTACGAAATTGATGACACATTGAGCGAAATGTGCAATATTATTAGTCAAGGTAAACAACTATTACTTACTTTATTTAATTCTTACACATAGCATTGTTTAAACAACCCTTAATTAACAAATACACAGTACCGCTGTTTTTACATGTTTCAGATCTGATTTTTTTTAAGTTTCTTTAAATATAATGTATTCTTATAATGGTTTAAATGTTATAAATCTTCAAAAATTCACTGATTACAATTTTCAAAAAAATTCAACACTCTCTCCCTTCTAAAGTTTTCAATAAAACCTAACATTACTTCGTACTTAAACTGCGGTTTTTAAAAACTTTATTAACTACCAGAATATATTTCTAGGTGAATACGTTAAAATTTTTCGCCCTTGTTGACCTAATGCAATATACTGACTTTTATTTTTTTTAAATACTCGTGATAAAATAGGGAAACATAATTAACAAGAAAAAATACGAAATTAGGCGCAGAAGTTTATTTTATTTTCATTTGTTTATAATAATTGTTGCTATTTTAAACAAATTATGGACAAAATTCAACCAATTTTTTTTTGTTTGAAAGCATGATTATTGTATATTACTCATACCAAATTGGAACAGGAACCTGTGTAGGAACATTAGTTACTTAAGGTTCCTTTGTCTGAAAGTTTAAAACAAATTTTTAAATAAAAATTCGTGTACATGAACCTCTACAGGATCCCATGCAGGAACCTTTGATCCTGAATGTTAACAATTTTACTTGTTGCGCAGTAAGTTTCTGTGGCTTTAACATCTGCGCAAAGAATTTTTTTTAAATAAATTTTTTTTATTTTACTTAAAAAAACCACCTTAGATCCTACATAGGATCCTCTTATGGTTCATATAAATGTTCCTTAGCATGAAAAGAAAGTGAAATATTTTCATTTAGAGAATCATGCGAGTGTTCCTGTATAGGAACCTTAGCATAAAATTATTTTTATACAATTTCATGTACAGGAATCTGCAAAGGAACCTTAGTAACTAATGTTCCTGCACAGAATATTGTACTAATATCCTGCAACGGATCCTGGCGGATTCTGCGTAGGATTCTTAACAGGATTCCTCAGAGAACCTTTAAGTTACCTATTTAGGAACCTCTAGGGATCCTTTAAGGATCCTGTACAGGAATTTTTAGCTGGGCCCCCAGAAAATGGGCCCATTTTCTACCCAAGTAGAAATATCCGTAGCTCGCCGTAATTAAACACCGGCATGGTACTGATCCAATACTAGCTGTCGGTATTGACTTTCAGTACTGGCAGTGTACTGACTAATACACCGAATCAGTACTATGTCGGAGGTAAAAAAATATTAAAACCAGTACTGGCAGTACACTGTCATTCACACCGAATCAGTACTATGTCGGTGATAAAAAACATTAAATGAAAAAGTCTTTAAATTATTCCAATAGGTAGAAAACGATGATTTTTTATTTAAAAAAATGTATATTAATTTCTTTCGAATACTTTCCCTCAAAATTTTGGATGTAATTGTAATGTATTATTATATACCTATATAAAATATATTTATGTTTTTTTAGTTATTTTAGTACTCATTGAAATATGTGCATTAAGTTATTTATCATGCATACAATAACAATAAGTTGAGAATTTTTTTCTAATAGTTTTAAAAATAAAGAAAATGTAATTTTTTCACTGTAATTTTTAAATATATTTAATAATTAAATATTAAATTTAAAAAAATTTTTACCATTCATATTTTACAGTCGTCTTTTATTAACTTATTTTTAATTATGTAATTCATCAATCATTTTTGTCTGTTTTAATATTATTTATGGTAAAAATAATTTATTAAAAATATTTAACTGAAATTGATATCCAGTTTTATTTCATTAAATCTTTGTAAAAATTGAAAAAATTTTGTGAGTTTAAAAAATTTAAGAATAAATTCATTTTATTTTCGTGATCAATAGATAATACAAACTTTGAAATCAAAACTTTTGTATTAGGTGAACTACTTCAAGTCAGCACTTCAAGCCAGCGCGGCTGTGCGGTATGCGTATCTGACTTGCGTTCTAAGGGTTTAGGGTTCGATCCCCCATGCGTGCGAGATTTTTCGTTCTTAGTTTTAAGTGTTATAAGTACAATATTTGTTCATGTGTAATATCAATTATTAAATAATTATTAAATTAAGTATAAGTGCAAAGTAAAAAAAATTAAATATTATGAATTTAAAAAAATAAAAAAATTTACAACACAAATTATTTTTTGTAAAATAATTTATTAAAAATAAAATAATTTAATTAATATAAATGATAATTATTATTTTAATTATTTCTTGTTAATAATATTTTATATATTCTAAATAACATTAACTATCTATTATTGGCTTCACATTACCTGTTCGTGGTAAAAATGGGAGTAATAAGCTAATAAGGATGAAATTTGCATTGGAAAGCGTGTTTTAGCATTTTGTAAAAAAGTGAGATTTTAAGTCCGGATGAGTACTTTGCCAGTATTATGCCGGTATTATTCTAGTACTACGTTAGTACTGGTGAGCGGGACAAAATCAGTACTGGACAGCGTTACCAGCCAGGGTTGGTCCACTACTGGCCCAGTACGGCAGTCAGTACTATTATACTGACTGGCAGTGTTGGGTCAGTACTATGCCAGTGGCACATTTCTACTTGGGTACATTTTCAAAATAGTCATAGAATAATTAATACATCGAATGTTTATGCAAATTTTTTTTGTACGTTGAAAGTTATTAATAACAGCTAATTTTTATACAATACACATTATGATCACTTTGAAAAAATTATTGGACACGAAAAATGCTTCCAAAGATGACGGGTACCACTTAAAAAGTTAGTTCTTAACGAGAAAAGAGTATGCCAATAGTTGAAATTTGTCATATTAATTGCCAAAATAAAAAAATTAAGGTGGAGCACGTCTACAGCATGAGGTGGTACCGAAGATGGACGATAGAGGCTCGTACGAAGGGAGCAAACTGTACAAGATCACGCGAATGTACATGTATACGATCTTGAACAAGAAAATGTACATGATCTTATACAAGATTTTTCAACTGGGAACATACTCAAATTTCAATTTGTTTATAAAATTTTTTAATTATATAAACAAATTACATGATGTTTGAAAATTATTTTTAGATATTTCAAGAACATTAATTTATAAAGAAGTGTTTCAATTTTCATCGAATAATATCGACTAGTTTTTATGTAATTCATTTTTTTCAAAAACGGTGCAAAAATGTTAAATTGTTTATAACTTTTGATAAAATAATTTTTTTTCCAAAATATTTATAGAAGTTATTTCTACTATTATTTACTACTAAATTAAAAAAAATAGATGAAATATAATTTATTGATGATTCGTTGATACACTTCAGAAAGCTTTGCCCAAGTATCAATCTAAATCATAAAATTGATGTATTTTAACAAAAAAAATCATTTTTACATCAAAATTATTATAGTAAACGTTTGTCATAGTGTGGTGAAGTTGAATTTAAAAAGAAGGCGTCTTGCTGTAGAAACGATTCCACCATTTCGAATAACCGGAAACATAAAAATCTTAAAAGTACAAATGTGTGGCCAGTCTTTGAAATAGGAGTTTTACTTAAAGCCACCATGCGCGTAAAAAACGAAACGTCCAATTTTGAAATTTTTTTTAAAGAGCTTATCAAAAGCTTTCAAATTTTCGTATTCAGTACTTTATTATATATTCCAAAATGTACAAAAAAAATATTAAAAAAAATTTTTATAATAAAATGAGAGCATTCTCTTCTATAGATGACCTTTTTGAGGTCCGAAACAGGCGAACTGGCTGTACCAGCTAAAGATGAACATAGAATAAAAATCCAAACATTTTTCTTTATTGTTACTTTATAGAGTGATAACAAAATTTTGGCTTACTTCGATAACTAATTTTTCTTTAACTATTTGGCTTTTGTTTCCGGTATACCGTTAAGTTGATACCCGTTTGTAAAGTATGAATGTTTTTTTAGAGAAATTCAAGCTATTGTTATCTAAACAACAAATAATATGAATTTTTTTACTTTTTAGTTTAAAAAATATATCTAATGACTTAACTAAAAATTGTTTTAAGATTTTTTTTAGAAACATATTTCTCAAGTTTATTATACATAAAGCAAATTTTCTTAGGTGTTATAATGAGTGTACTACATGGTTGACAGAACACTAGGTGTAGAGTAAGGAACATGAGCAGGATGTTGTTACAAACCAGTATAATTTTGAAAGAGACCAGTGTTAGCAACAGTAAACTACAGAATACATGTCCTTTTCAAAAATTTGAATTATCGATTTAGTATCTCCAGCTTCATAATACTCTCAGTAGATGTGAGTTTCTATTTATTAAAAGACTAAATTTTATATATGTTGAGCACATTAAACTTTTTTAAAATAGTTTTACAATTAATATTAAAAAATATAATACAATATAATTATTTTGAGTTGATACTTATAATTACTGTTGTGTAATTAACAGACAATATTTATTTCATCTTGTTTTTAAAATGAAAATTAAAGAGAATTTTTTAATAAATAGTGAAATATAAGATCTTGTGAAATAGTTTGAATAATAATGAGTGTATATTTATAGTAATTGTTCTTTTTTGTACATTTTAAATAATTTTTTTCTTGTAACATCTTAAATAGCATAATGTATTTCAAGAATATTTGTTTAATATTTTGTTTCGTAAATTATTTTACTTTTTCAGACAAATTAAAGTTGATTTAAAAAAATCAAAGCTTTTACTATAAACTCCGATATTTTAATAAAAATCAATTTTTTAAAAACGTCGATCCATTACGAGTGAATGTGTGGTTTTACTTTCCGACGGCTCACTTATAGGGACATACTCTGATAAGTGATATATTTTACTCAAGTAAACGGTTACTTGATTTTTATCAAAAAAATATTTAATTGAATCAATTAATTTTCATTTGAATTAAATAAACGCTATTTAATTAAATTATTTTTTTAATTTGATCAAATACAGTTTTAATTGGCTTCTTCTTTAAATATAATATTAAACTTAAAAACTTTAAACTTTTTTAAACTACATAATTGCATATTCCAACTTACATAATTCCCATATGGGAATTTTCAACAGGAAATTTTTATGTTATAGCAGTTTTTAATTCAAAACAATTAATAAATCATCTATTCTTTTTAATTTTCTTATTAATCCATTATAACTAAATTAATTTATTTTAAGTTTGTTGACCGTAGTATAAAAAATCTATTGATGGTTGGTTTAACTATGGGCCACTGAAGGGCCGACTTTCCTTTCAAAGAATTAAAATCATATGTGAAAATTTAAATTATAATAATTTACTATTAATTATTATTAACTAGTATAAAATTAATAAATATTAACAAATAGTTTCATTTTAATTTATCTCTATTAGTTAATAATAATAAGAAAATTAAGACATAATACAAATAATTTTATTACAAATAAAAAATTACATGTACATATTGCAATTAAAAGATTAAAAAGAATTTTAATGTTTCTTTCGTCCACCTTTTTGGGGCTCCAACTTGACTGCAAGAACTATTCAATTCTGTCAATATTTGAACCACTTTTGAACCAACGGTCGACCCAACTGTTAAGCGTTTACATGGGTCAAAAAGAACAAAAAATGTAAGTCATTTTATAATTTTTTTTCATATCCCAGATAACCAAGCGTACTAATCGTTATTTACGAGTGCGGAGTACCGGTATTATACTAGTTTCATACCAGTACAAAATAATTATGTACAATTATGTACGTACGTACTAGTACGGTTCTACACTAAGAAAAACGATTGGTTGGGATTGCCATTTCGTTAGTAAGAGTATTTTAGCTAATTTATATTAGTTACTGTTACCATTTAGTTAGTCAGTCTAACCATTTCGTTAGTAAGGTAACTAATTAAATAGTAATTCCAATAAACTAATTAGTTAAACCAACTAATAATATAGTTCTGCAAAGAAAATAGTAAAAGAGTATAGTGGTTCATACTTAACCTTCAGTCATGGTTACTAAACAATATAGCGTGACTTTTTCGATTAACAAAACAAACTGTCAGATGCACTAAACGGCCGTTTAGTTATCACGATTACTCAATTGTTAAGTAACGTGCACGGAATAAACTGTCATCTCTACAACTTTGTTTATAATTTATTTAAATATATATTAACGATTAACCTCTTACAATTCAATAAAAATATTGCGTTTGTATTGTTAATAATATTTTCAAATTTTATATTCAGTATTTTTCCAAGATTTTGTTATATGATTATCATGGTGCAATTCGTCAAAAAGAATTTTATAAAAAATACGTATTGGTGGGTTTCAAATATTAAATTAATATAAAAAAGTATTTTTATATAATACTTTAGTTGAATGAAAAGTTTACACGATTCATTTTCATGGTGTCTAGAAAATATATTTATTATCTTCAAATAAAAAGTAAAGAATAAATGTTTACCCTATTGAAAATCCCCACATGGAAAACCACATGGGATCCTATGTCAAAAACTATGTAAAACCCCACTTCCATATAGGAAACTATATGGTTTCCCATATAAATCCCCATGAGAAATTGAGACAGGATTTAAAATAGGAAAAAATTCAAAACGTTTTCCCATGTCAAATACAATGTTAAATACCAAATGAAATCCTTTATCATTTTTGTGAAAAATTTTCCCATGTCAATTCTCATGTCAAACCCCATGTCATTCCCCAAGTGAAATCCTTTATCATTTTTTTGAAAAAGTTTCCCATTTCAAACCCCATCTCAATCCCCAAGTGAAATTATTTATCAGTTTTTTGAAATATTTTTCAAAAAAATGATAAAGGATTTCACTTGGGGATTGACACGGAATTTGACATGGGAAAATTTAAAAAAAATGAAAAAAATTCACTTGAGGATTGATATGGGAAAATTATACTAAATAATTGAAAAAGGATTTTACATGGGATTTGACATGTTAAATTTCAATATAGATGTAGATCATCATTATAGTTCCATAGTTACGCCACGAGATGGTGAAAATTTTTTCTCTCACAGTTGAGATCAGTCTGGAATACAATAAAAGCTGAGACTCTATATCTCAGAAGTAAAGCAAACTTTTCTTTATTTTTAGATGAGTTGCAGTAATAATATTTGATATTTAATTAAATAATTACTATTTTTTGTAAACTGCCGCCTGCATAAAGCAGCCAACTGAAAATTCCCGAATAAAATCCTATATTGTTTCCTATATGTAAATCCATGCAAAATCTTAAGTTGAAATTTCAGAATCTACATGAAATCTTATATGATTTCCTATGTTTAAATACATGTGTTTTATCATGTGTAAGAATGCACATGAAATTGTGTTCCATTTCTCATGTGGATTCCCATATGGTTTCCCATGTGGATTCCCATGTGGGAATTTTCAATAAGGCGAAAGAGGATTTGACATGAGAAAATTTTTCAAAAAAATGATAAAGGATTTCACTTGGGAAATGATATGGGGTTTGACGTGGGAAAATTTTTTCAAAAAAATGATAAAGGATTTCACTTGGTATTTGACATGAGATTTGACATGGGAAAACGTTTTGAATTTTTTCCTATGTCAAATCCTGTCTCAATTTCCCATGGGGATATATATGGGAAACCATATGGTTTCCTATATGGAAGTGGGGTTTTACATATAGTTTTTGACATAGGATCCCATGTGGTTTCCCATGTGTGAATTTTCAATAGGGTATAATCGTGACAATATCGTAAAAAATATTATAACACAAATAAGTATAGAAAGTTTTGAAAAATATTGAGGCTACTTAACCTTAATTTTTTTTCATTTTATTTTTTAAATATACAATATAATTGATTTTAATATTTTTTTTAAAATTAATCTAATAATTTGATTTAAAAAAAACCCGAGCAGTAAAGTAAATTATATTTTAATGTCTTGTTCAAAAATATATGGATTAATATATAAAATATACCGATTGCAAGGTTGACAATCATTGGTATAGTTCACTTAACTAAGTAGACATTCATCTTCACTACTTTGTTTAGTACAATCAACACGAAAAAACTGAACGCTGTATAGTAACCTATACTGAATATTCATTTCTCATAACTCAATTTTTCTTACTAAACGCGTAATAGTCGAATGCACTTTAACTCTTCTCTCCGTGGTAACTAATAAATTATCAGCAGTATAGTTTACTAACTAAAAATGGTCATCTCAAAAATGGTAACCCCAACCAATCTTTTCTCTCAGTGTAGTATAATAAAAGTATGTCGTACTGTTAGAATTATAAAATGTGAGTACTCGATAAAAGTATAATACTAGTATAATACCTGTACGTCGTACTTCTGAAATAGGAAGCATAACATACTCGTACTATAAGTATAATACTGGTACGTCGTACTGGGACTCTTTGCTGGTAGTGCTAACCCAACCTCATTTTCATAACAGTTATTGCCAAATATGAAACCGTTACTAAAACGGTGCAATAAATGTTGGTGAAAATAGTGGTTTATGATGCATTACAAAAGTTTTAACGTTTGTAATTTGTGCGTCTTCACTTATCTGGAATATGGATGAGAATTTCTGAAGTGGCCCCCGATTTGACAAGGGTCGGAATTTTTTTATTGAAACTTCACAAAAATATAGTTCCAATATATTTAAAAAGATCCCCTAAATTTTGTTGAAAAATATCCATTTGTTTTCTTTTTATAAACAATTGAAATTTTATGTATACTAGCGCCTCCGACGGCTGCAAGCGGCCGTCTTCGTTGCTTCTGTTCCTTTTTGAATTTCCATTTTATTAATTTCATTTTAAAATATGATTTGATTTCTTCTTGTTTTTTTATCCTATATCGATTCAAAATGTAAAGAAAAAATTTATGAATATGAAATAAGAGAGAGTGATTTACGCTATAATCTCTCTTGCACTATAATCATTTTCTGCTTTTTTTATTTGTAAATTATATTCATCTTTATGGTACTACGTCCTAATTTGCTTATAATTGATTATAGTCTGTTGATAAAATACTTTATTAATGGATTTTATTTAAGGTTTTTATTTTATAAACTTTTTAGATAAATAATTTAAATTTCTGATAAATTGTTAATTATAATGTGAAGTTAGTGAAAAGAAATTTTCCAGTCTTTTAAAATAGTCACTGAAATGGTAATTTAGAAAATTACATTCTGTAAATCATGAATTTAAAAAAAACCATCAAAAAATTTCTTCAAAAACAATATTTTTCACTACCTACAGTTGTAATTATGTTTATTTTTCTTTATTAGAAATTATTTATTAATAACAAAGGAAAATAATATATT